CTCTTCCTTACTCAAATTGGCATTGATAATGATCGGAAAAGAGTTGGTCCAAGGTAAACATACTTCAGATGAGAAGGCAATTGTTTGAGCTCAAGCTTAGGAAACTTTTCTAACCCATCCTTCTCTTTCTTTTCACTCACATCCAAGTCTTCAAATTTTGAAGTTTGAATGGAATTCATTGGTTGTAATGCTTCTAAAAGCCTTGCACATTCTTCCTTCTCTGATTCATTTGGATTAATAGTCATGGATTGAGTGATACATGCTTCAAGAGGTAGTGGAGGATTGTTCTCTCTGAATGAATCAACAACTAGTCTATCCGCAGCATCAATTCCAAACCATGAATCAGTTTCAAACAGAAACTTCGTTGCCTCAAACACATTGAAGGTTACTGTTTTATCTTGGACCCTCAAAACCATCTTTCCTAGTTGCACATCAATCAATGTTCTCCTAGTTGCAAGGAAAGGTCTTCCCAAAATAACACATCTTCAACAATGCCTCATGGATGCTTAATCAGTCAATCTGCAAGTTGAACAGAAACCATGGTTGGTTTGACTCTTCTGATCCCTAATTTCCTGAAAACAGAAAGAGGCATTAAGTTAATGTTAGCACCTAAGTCACAAAGAACCCTATTAAATTACACATCTCTTATAATACAAGAAATAGTAAAATTCTCTGGATCTTTAAGCTTTGGTGGTAGCTCCTTCTGAAGTATGATGTTGCATTCCTTTGTGAGCATCATTGTTTCATCCTCTTCCAACTTCCTCTTGTTTGAAAGAATCTCTTTCAGGAATTTGGCATAACTCGATATTTGCTGCAATGCATCTACAAAAGGAATGTTATGTAACTTTTTAAATACATCAAGGAATTTAAAGAATTGCTTATCCTGATTGGTTTTATGAGTCTCTGAGGAAACGACACTAGAAGTGTGTGATGTGCAAGGTTCTGTGGAATCTCAGGAAAAGGTAGCTTTTCCTCTTTTGTCCTTGGCAAATTCTCTTTCTTTGGATCATTTTTTCGCAGTTCCACAACTTTCTCCTCAACAATGATCTCTTCATCTACTTCTTCTTAAGATTCTTCTATCTTTTCTGAAATTTTCTCCTCTTTCCTTTTTGGTTCAATTTCTTCCAACCTTGTTCCACTCCTTAGCAAACTTGCATTTGCTTGCTCTCTTGGGTTTGTCACAGTAGTACTTGGCAAATAACCTTGAGCTTTTTCCGTTAACTTTTCAGAAATTTGACCCATTTGAACTCCCAAGTTCTGAATAGATGCCTATTGATTTCTGAAGTTCGCTCTCGACTCGGTCATGAATTTCTCAAACGTATCCTTCAACTTGTTGCTGATTCATTGCCGGTCTTTGATTTCCTAATTACTCTAGGACAGATTTGGGTGATTTCATTGTTGAGCTTTGAATTAATGTAGAATAGTTGACCACTAAAGTTTATAACATAATGGATTTTAACAGCAAAAACTTAACGACAAGTTTTGTTATTACTATAAAGGGATTTTACAAAATATGTAATAACACAATTGTTGTCCGACTCTTTCTAGCAAGTCGATGATACATAACTAAGAGACCCTCACTAAATCCCAGAAAGGTGTATGCAATAAATATATGATAGAAGGCTTTATTGACATAGTAACGTCTTATAATACCATTTATGCTATCATTAAGCTTTCTTGTTAAATTAAATCAATTTGGTAATCTCTTATTACCAAATTTTTTGGCAAAATGAATTGGAGAAAACACAAAATAGACACTGGTTAAGACTTGTCAAGACGCCCACAAAGTGTCAAAGAGAAATAAAACCAACACGAAGAGCAGAGATGGACAGAAAAAGTCTATTGCAGACGACGACTCTTCCTCTGCTTCAAATGGCTTAGACAAAACCAAGGTCAGAGCCTTTTTTGGAGAGTGAGAAATTGGGTGAAAACATGGAGGGGATTTAGAGAAAAGAGGAGGGCTTGAAGGGGAAAAAGAAGGAAACTTTGGAGCAGTGGAGAGTTTTGAAGAAGAAAAGAAAATTCAGGGTTATTAAATTTAGAAGAAGAAAATTCAGGTAAGAGTCTAAAATTCACTTTGGGTAGGCTTTGGTTAGGGGCTACGGTTTATTGGATTTGGAGGGAACGAAATTCGGGAAGTTTTAAGGGTGAACATAAGGATTCTTTCACCATAATCGATGCTATCAACATTGGATTACAGAGGGTTACGCAGAAGGATTTTTGCTTGGTTGTTTTGTCTCATTGGTAAAGAGTTTGATTTCGTGTTTTTCTTTTAATGATCCTAACCTAGGGAGTTGTCCTATGGTAGGTGGGATTTTTGGTGTTCCCTTTGCTTTCTTCTTGGTGTTTATCTCCCTTTGTGGTTTTAGATAAACCCCTAGAGCGGATGGCTGTTTGTAGGCTTGTTTCTTTTGTTTCCTATTTTTGGGGCATGTCCCAAAATAGGCTAGTCGCCTTTTATTAGGCCTTTGTACATTCTTCTGTTTTTTTTTTTTTTTTTTAATATGATTACTTACTTATCAAAAAAAAAAAAAACAAAAAAGAAGAAGAAATTTTAAACATCTCTTAGTTTTGATTGATTCTGTGCGTCCCAGGGTATGAGGCTAGTTAAAATATTGGCTGATAGTTTTGAAAAAGAGAGAGATTGCAGAAGTTTTCAATAAAGTGGGAGATTCAACTCTTTTATTCTGTTTAGTATCTTTATTACAATTCCACCCTTTACTTGTGGGTTAATGAATAAATTATAGGGTCTAAAAATCACTTCTCTTTCTGTAAACACTGTTCTTGGGAAACAAACATGTTTCTAGCATACTTTGATTGGGAAACAAACATGCCATCATTCATTCGTTTAATTTGAAGACCAAGAAACATATTCAATTCCCGTACCATACTTATCTCAAACTCATTATTCATGAAGCTAATGAATTCAAAGGCAGGTGAATGAGATGTAGAACCAAACACAATATCGTTAACGTAAATCTGTGCACACATGATCTCATTGTTAACACGCTTGATAAAAAGAGTTTAGTAGGCATTACCTCTTTCATAGTTATGCTCAAGAAGGAACGTTGTCAACCTTTCATACAAGACTCGTGGGGCTTATTTCAAACCATAAAGTGCTGTCTTCAATCTGAGCACATGATCAGGTTTGTGGGGGTCTTGAAAGCAAATAGGTTGTTCAACATTCACTTCTTCTCATTGTCATTCACGCCAGAGAGGAAGATATCCCGATAAGAGCAATATCTTCCTTTCTGGTGTGAATGACAATGAGAAGATGGAACTCTTAAGTTTGATAGATTTTTCCGAGGCTGCTCTACCCATAAAATACATAGGTGTACCCCTTATTACCTCTAAGTTAACTTTTGGGGATTGCCAACCTCTCTTGGATAAAATCTTGGCTCAGGTTACCACTTGCCAACCTCTAAGTTAACTCTTTACCAATGAGACAAAAAAAACCAAGCAAAAACCCTTCTGCGTAACCCTCTGTCATCCAATGTTGACGACAAGACTTTTTGGATACCCTCACCTTCGGGGGATTTCTCCACCACATCGGCTTGGTTGGCTATTAGAGGAAGAAGAGCAAAAGTTGAGTGGCGTGACTTGGTGTGGTTCTCAAAGGCTATCCCAAGATACTCTATGATCTGATGGATGTCTATTAAGGAGTAATTTTTTTTTTTTTTTTGTTAAGTAAGTAATCATATTAAAGAAACAAGAACAATGTATAAAGGCCTAATAAAAGGAGACCAGCCTATTTTGGGACATGCCCCGAAAAAAGGAAACAAAAGAAACAAGCCTACAAACAGCCATCCGCTCTAGGGGTTTATCAAAAACCACAAAGGGAGATAAACACCAAGAAGAAAGAAAAGAGAACACCAAAAATCCCACCTACCATAGGACACCTCCCCAGGTTAGGATCATTAAAGGAAAAACAAAAAACAAACGCTTTACCAATGAGACAAAACAACCAAGCAAAAAACCCTTCTGCTTAACCCTCTGTAATCCAATCTTCAAATGGTGTTGAGAACTTGAGGAGCGTCTTTGAAAANATCAATCGCTTAAGCGATATAAAGGATCGCTTAAGCGATCTTAGATCTGGGCAGATGATGCGACCATGAGTAAAAGAGGTTAATCGCTTAAGCGATACAAATGATCGCTTAACTGACAGTTCAGAACGTACCCTTTCTTCGACGGCCTCCTCGTTCTCGCCAGCCTCCTCCTCGTCGCCTGAATCCTCAGAAGACTCCTCCTGGCCGGAATTCTCACCGGACTCCTCCTCCTGCCCTGAATTCTCGCCGGAATCCTCCTCCTGGCCTGAATTCTCGCCTGACTCCTCGTCTTCAGAACCGTTTGCCGATTCTTCCCTCTGTTCTTGTGCCGCCGACGTCTCCTCTACCTTTGGACCACCTTCACTAATCGAATGATCCACCGGAGCAGCCATTGAACTGCTTGCACCACCGGAATCTAGGATTCGAAGTGGCGTTGTGTTTTCCTTGTCATTGTGAGTGTCAGCCATGGTTTTGGATTGAATTTGATGTCAAAATTTGTAGTTTCGATCAGAAATGTGGGCTGTATCGCCGGAAATCGCGCAGATTTAGTTTAGGGTTCAAGAAATCGATTTTGGGGTTCAAGAAATCGATTTTGGGGTTCAAGAAATCGATCGAAAATCATTACTCATCGCCGAAAATCGCAACTATATTCCGTTTAGGGTTCAAGAAATTGAGTTTACGATTAAATATGGTGTAGAAATTTGCGGGTTCGATAGGAAATCGCACTGTCTCCCTTTGGTTCAAGAAATTGCTTTTTGCCCTAATAAATTTCGATTAAGCAAGATGAATAGTTAGTGGGGCTTGTTTTGAGAAATTTCAAATTTTAAAAACTTTTATTATTTTTGATTCGACCCATGTATGTTTTAATCTTTTTATTTTAACCCATTTTACGTGTTTAGTTAATCCTAACTATGCCACGTTATCTTCTCTAAATTAAAAACAGTTTCAAGACCATTTTCTTAAATGGAAGTTTGGGATGACCGGGCAGCTAAATTTTCTCCATTTCTATCAAGATCAAGTTAGAAAAGTCGAGCCCAAATTTCTTGGCCGTATGTCTGATATAATCGATGGCTGCAATTTTAAAACTATCCCTATTCTACCTCACTTCAATTTTTGCTTTTCTCCATTTACTTCACAACCAAATTTCACAACAATTACTAATAACCCATGACAATCACAAAGTTCGCCTCAAGAAAAACCCAGATCTCCCTCTTCGGTTTCGTCACGATGGTGCTTTCAAAATCCTCCAGGTTGGTTTAATTAATTAAGCTGGTAGCTTTTTTTGTTTTGTTTTTTTTTTTTTTTTTGATGATTTTCATGTGGGTATGTTGGTTTTTAAGGTCGCTGATATGCATTATGGAATGGGGATGATAACTCGGTGCAGAGATGTGATGAGCTGTGAGTTCGAGTTCTGTTCTGATCTCAACACCACTCGCTTTCTTAGGAGGATGATTGAAGATGAGAAGCCGAATTTCATCGCCTTTACTGGTACTGATTCTTTATCCATTTATGTATTTATTAGAATAAGGAAATGTGTCAGCTGCAGTTGCTATTAGATTAGTTGAATTTGAATCAATTGTGAGATTATAGCTAGATTTTATGCTTATGAGTTAGTGCTGATGAATTTATGCCGAGAAAAACTGTAATAGCATTCATCAGTAAGATATGAATCCATGATATTATACATGAACTACCTATGCTTATAAAAGCTTGAAATCTGAACTATTAAAACTCATTTAACTTCAAAATTTTATCTGCAAGTAAAATCTCTCACCATTTGACTAATCATTATTTAATCTGTTTAGTGTCTTTGAGCATTTTGAGTGATTGATAGAATCAGTTAGAGAGGAACAGGTTTTTCTTGATGATCTTGTTTGAAATCAGATAAGAATGACTATAATTCAAAATTTTATTAGCAAGTAAACTAGGAATGACTGATTCAGGATTCAAACTAGGCCTGTGGAAGGCAAATATGAAACAATTTTTACAGATTGAGCATAAGAATTATATAAAAATTAGCAAATGATGATTACCACTAGAAAGATAAACATGACAGAACAATTTGGAATCTATATAGTAGATTAATATTGTAGAATGGCAATGATGTATTGACCTATTAGTTTTTGGTTTTTAAATTTATTTATTTTATTGTATCAACTGTATATGGATTTTCATATATCAGTCAAATAGTTAAATTCTGTTAACATAGTTTAGCATTCTCTTGTATAAAAGTTTCACTATTAGCAGAGATAATTTAATAATTTCACTGAAAATCAATTATATTAAACAATATTTAAATAAAAACCAAGTGGTATTGCTTATTACATTCAAAGTAAAATAAAAAAAGTAAAAAAATAATGTCGTAATCTTTTTATTGATTGACATAAAAACTTTTCTATTCATGTTTGGAATTTTTACAAGTCTCTGTACTTATGATAAAGTACATATTTATAAAACAATTTACTGTAAATAACATTAATATCGAAGTTGAAAACATTGCTTGAGTTTGAAACCACATTAACCATTTGGTTTGGTTTTTAACAAAAAATAAAAAAGAGGCAAAATAATGGTAGAACATGCATTTTTAGCTTTTTTTTTTTTTTTTTCTGTTGGTTTTGGATATTTTATTGATAGAATGTTTAGGTGTCTTTAAGTAAGATTGTTTTATTTAACTGTGTAACTAATCAACGGATTAGAGCACATACTATTGTTTATGTTGGTAAAACTATCGTTCATTGAATTTTATTATATTTTCTCATAACTATCGTTTGTTTTATAATTTAGCGAGATAAGTGGCTAACTATGGGGTAAACTAATTTTTTTTTTAAGTATTAAAGCTTTAAATTGGCTGAACTATTATTTAATCTATTCAAATATTAAACAATATCATAAGGAAATAAACATAAAATTGGAATTCAAACAAAAAAATGTTCTCTCTCTATTTGAATCTTATCTAAAAATACTAATTTGGATTCATTATAATTGTGTAGGTGATAACATATTTGGAACAAGCACAACTGATGCTGCTGAATCCCTGATCAAAGCCTTTGGTCCTGCTATGGAATCTGGCCTTCCATGGGCAGCAGTTTTAGGAAACCATGACCAAGAATCTACAATGAACCGTGAAGAATTGATGTACTTTATCTCCCTTATGGATTATTCAGTAGCTCAAACTAACCATGCCAAAGTAAGCATGACAGAAAATATTGATGGCTTTGGGAATTATGACTTGAATGTATACGGTCCTCTAGGTTCCCATTTGGCAAACAGCAGCCTTCTCAATCTTTTTTTCCTCGACAGTGGGGACAGAGAAATTGTTCAAGGAGTTCGAACTTATGGTTGGATTAAGGAATCTCAACTTCGTTGGCTTCATAGAGTTTCTGAGGGATTGCAGGTATGGAAAACTGAATTTAGCTGTTCTAATTAAGACACGCTTTAAGCTACTAAACATTAGTACTGCCTTATGTTGCATTTTCTCAATTTCACTTACCACAAGTGTTTTGATAAGTATAGAATATTTTCTGAAAAAATTGCCTAAAGCTCATCAGGATAATTTGATCACTTTTGCATATTTGTTCACATGCTTGTTCAGCAAAAGCATAATTAAATAGGCCTGCATTCAAGTTATTCTCGTTGAAATATGCTCCCTTAAATACTTAACCATGTTTTCCAGTTCCCGCAAGGGAGGTTTTGTAGATTTAGATTTTATTAACTTGTTGCAGGTCACACGCTAACAGGGCCAAAATCAGGATCCCAATCACTTGCCAGGAGGTCGGCCCCCAGCTTTGGCTTTTTTCCATATTCCAATCCCGGAAGTTCGACAGCTGTACTATCAAAAGATAATAGGCCAATTTCAGGAGGCTGTGGCTTGTTCAATAGTAAATGCAGGAGCGCTAAAAACTTTTGTATCCATGGGAGATGTGAAGGCTGTCTTCATAGGCCATGACCACAACAATGACTTCTGTGGGAATGTTGATGGTATTTGGTTATGTTATGGTGGAGGCTTTGGATACCATGGGTATGGAAGGGCTGGATGGCCCAGAAGAGCAAGAGTTATATTAGCAGAACTTGGGAAGGGTGAGAATTCCTGGATGGGAGTGCAAAGGATCAAGACATGGAAACGTCTTGATGATGAGAAGCTGAGCAAGATTGATGAACAAGTTCTATGGCAAACATAGCCAGCAAGATAACTGACTCCAGGTATTTTGATTTATGCCATAACTCTCATGATTATTGTGCATATCCTTTTTGTGGCGTTGTCAGTGTTATCATTATTTTGAGAAGAAATGGGCTTGTGCTTCTTGCCATTAAGGTATTAATTATGGCTTTCTACAAGAAGTAAATTCCTTTCTGGTGATTCTGATTCTTTTAGAAAGTTTAGTGTGGGACACCAAGCTCTAAATTCATTTGAGTTGTACGCATAATAATGGGAAAGTGTGACTGATTATTTGAATTCTCAGCCTTGTACTTGAGATTTGTAAGAAAGTTTCATAAAATTGTTTAGAAATCTTAACGATGAAAGAGGTTTCTCCTTATTTTTCAATTTAGGCGATTCTTACTGTAATTAAGTTATACCTTGGAGAAGATGAATGGGATTTAGCATAATAATAAGTAAATCTTGTCTTCTTTTCTTACTCTATTAGAAATGAAAATTCTACTTGTATCCTGCTTTCATCTTAAGGCCTTGACACTAATGAGGGGTGATTTCTGTGAAGGTCCTCGTCATTAGCTTTTAAAAAATTTATTAGAAAACTGAAAACTCTAATGAGAAAACAACAAATTGTGATTCTCTGATAGAATATTATTTTTGTTTGTTTTCCTATGAACATGCAGTATGCCTAATCTGAATGTTTTGGATAGAAATTGACAAACAGAAGAAAACAATAAGAATATGGGAGAAGATATAAAGCATCCATATGGTTCTTCTGGCATGATTTCATTATACTGAACTTATACCATTCCATGAAATTAACTAAACAGTAAACTAAAAGGAACATGATCAATCAATAACTAAACAAAAGAAGAATAATAAAAAAAACCAAAACAAAACTGGAGCAGATGCAAACTGTAAACTAAAAGCTAATCAAAGCTTTGTGTTTCTTATATAGGCAGAATGAGCTTTGGCCATGTCTTTTGATACACAATCTCATGGTGGCAAGTTGTTGGCATTTCAAAAGTGAGAAGTATGCACCCTTTTCTCCCCGAGCAAGTAGCTCATTGTGAGATCCCTCTTCAATGATCCTCCCATTTTCAATTACTGTTATTTTATCTGATTTTTGAACGGTGGATAGTCTGTGAGCCACAACCAGGCATGTCCTGCCGAGCATAGTCTTCTCCAGAGCATCTTGAACAAGACTTTCAGAATTAATGTCCAGTGCACTTGTTGCCTCATCCAAAAGCAATATAGCTGGATTCTTCAAGATGGCTCTTGCTAGTGCTATCCTTTGCTTTTGACCTCCTGAGGGCATCTCCAACCCACGCCAAAATGGCGTAAAAAACACCAAATTGGCGTGGGTTGGTGCTCCAACCCACGCCAAAATGGCGCATCACTGTAGCGAATAAAATATATATATATTTTTTTTTAATTTTGTTTTTTTTTTGTTTTTTATTTTAATTTTGTTAAGTTAATTTGAGTATTAAATTTTACACTAAAAATCACACCAAATTTGAGTATTTGTATTTAATTTAATTTAATTATTATTTATAATACTGATATAATTTAAAAAATGATGAAATACTAAAAATAGAACTTTATTTAATGCAAATATTAAATTACAATAACTCAAAATAAAAATTAACACTAATTTAAAAACATCAAAATTAAAAGAAAATACAATATAAACTCAAATAACAATTTAGTATTCCGGTATATTAGTTCTGGATCCAGTAAGATCATCAAAATATTGAAAAGAATTAGAGTTATTACAATAAAAGAAATAGATTAATTGTTATTTAATACTAAAAAGAACTAGAGTCATCAAAATAATTTTTATTTAATAAAAATATCATTCTTAATATTTAATTAATATATACAAAAATAATGAGTGAAATAGATTAATTGTTGATTATTACAATAAAAGAAAAAAAAAGAATATTTTAAGGAATATTTTAAAAAATATTCTTTTTGGTATAATATTTGATGTAGCGGGTTGGAGATGGAATAGTATTTTACACCAAAATTTGCACCAATTTGGTGCAATTTTGCACCAAATTAGTGCAATGGATGGGTTGGAGATGGTCTGATAGTTGCACACCTCTTTCTCCACAGTAAGTTGCATAACCATCCCTCATGGAACTGCTCTTCAATGCAATACAGTAAAATATTAGAATCAAAACCAACAACCTCTAAAACTACTTGATGAAAAACCAAAGCACAACCCAATTTGATAGAACGTATGCTACATATATAGTTGACACAAACAAACCTTATGAAATCATGGGCATTTGCAACAGTTGCAGCTTCAATTATTTCAGCTTCACTTGCGTTCTCCTTTCCATATGAAATGTTCTCATGGATTGTTCCTGCAAAGAGAGTTGGCTCTTGACTTACCAATGCTATATGTGACCTTATAGCCTTTAAATTGTAGAGCTTGATGTCAAGTCCATCAACTTCAACTGATCCATTTGAGACGTCATAGAATCTCTCAATCAATCTCATGATGGTAGATTTTCCAGACCCACTTTGGCCTACTAGAGCAACAACTTCTCCCACATCAATTTTTAGGTTTAGATGCTTCAAGAGAATCTGTTTAGGCCTGGATGGATAGAAGAAATCCACATCTTTAAATTCTCTGTCTCCATTGAGCTTTTGTGGCTTAATGGCATTTGAATCATCTGGGTCAATTTTGCTCTTTGTTTTCAGGATCTCAAAAATTGATTTCAATGCACTGGTTCCCTTTGATAAGTCTGCTGTCATGCTTCCTGTCTCTGCTATGACCCTACCTGTTGATACAAGGACGAAGAATGTCTGAAAGAGGTGCTTGTATGTTATATCTTGTGCATATAGTAGTTTCCCACCACACCAGAAAATTACTGCTGGATTGGCTGCTGTTAGGAACTGTGAAACTAATAATCCAATTCCTGCATACCAAGATTGCCTGTTGCTTTCTTTTTTAGGGCTTATCTGTGTTAATTCATGAAGTTTCAGAATCTTTTCTTGTGAATAGAATGCTGTAATAATTCTGTGGTTTCCTACTGCCTCACTTGCTAATTCACCGCTCTTGTTCTGTGCTTTCACTAATTTCCTAGACATGTTCCTCATCATTGTTGCTTTAGTATAGAAGGCACCAATTATAAATGGTTGCATACTGATAGCTATGAGTGCAAGCTTCCATGACAGCACCATACCCAAAACAATAGCTAAAACCATTGAAGACATGTTTTGAGCTAACAATGACAAGCGATCTGCAACAAGAGTCCTCACCATAGTTGCATCTGTGGCCAATCTTGAACAGACAGCTCCACTGTTGTTGTTTTCTTGGTCAAACCACTCGATCTCAAATGTTAAGATCTTTACAAACAGGGTCTCTCTGACCCTTTTTGTCAAGCTCTCTCCCATAATCCCGAAGTAGTAATGCTGAAACACATTGGTGATAAAAGCAAAGATGGCAAAGGATATAAACGCAAAGCAGTAGATTCTGGTCTGTGATTTAATCTCACTATGATCATCTATTATATAAACAGATAGAATCCCACCCAAGCAGAAAGAGTGCAAAGGCTGAATCAATCCATAACAAAAGGCACCAATGCAACCCAAAACAGTTGACTTCCACTCAGGTGACTTCCACTCAGGTGAAGCCATGCACAATAGGTGCCATAAAGGTGGGGAATCTTTGTGATCTCCTTGCAGATCATGACTGAAACTTTGCAAAGCCGAAATATTTTCTGTTTTTTCTGTTCTTGAACTTGCTTTGTCTATGGAAATGGAACTGTTCAGTTCAATTCCTTTAGATGTTGATGCAATCCCATCATTTATAAAAGTTCTCTGCAGCTGTACCATTGATGAGTAAAGGCAGCTACTGTTTTCCATCAGTTGATAATGAGAACATGTTTCCACCACTTTTCCAGATTGAATAATTGCAATGAAGTCAGCATTGCGAAGAGCTGAAAGACGGTGTGCAATGATAATGGTAGTTCTTCCTAGAGACGCCTGATCCAAAGCATCTTGTACAGCCTTTTCAGAGTGGGAATCCAATGCGCTTGTGGATTCATCCAGCAGTAGGATTTTTGGGTCCCTTAACAATGCCCTTGCAATGGATATCCTTTGTTTCTGTCCTTCTGACATCTGAATTCCCAGTTGCCCAACCTGAAAGAACATAAAGTATAGACCTCGGTAACTCTCTTGTTATTTGTAGAGTTTGTTTATAGGATGAGTAAATTACATGGCAGATGAATTAGAACAAGTTTTTATGGCGTACCATGGTGTCATATCCATTTGGTAGTTGATTGATGAAATTGTGTGCATTGGCAGCTTTAGCTGCTTTGATAATCTCCTCTATTGAAGCTTCCTCTTTGCCAAAGAGGATATTTTCTTTGATTGTGGTTGCAAAAAGTATAGCCTCTTGGCTTACTAGGCCCATTTGACTACGCAACCATTTCAACTGGAGACTCCTTATGTCAATATCATCCAAGTAGATTTCTCCTCTAATAGGGTTATAGAATCTTTCAAGCAAATTTACAACTGTTGATTTACCTGACCCACTTTTTCCTACCAACCCAACAGTTTGGCCTGCTGTTACTCTCAGATTAAACTTCTTTAATACCAAACTTTCTATTCTTGAAGGATATGCAAAGTCTATGTCTTTAAATTCCAAATCACCTTTAAAATTTGACACAGTTTTGCCTTGTTGATCTGCAGAGTCAATCTTCGGAACTCGCTTGATCATCTCAAATAGCCTAGAAGCTGCAGCATTTGCCTCTGCAAAGTACTTCACATTGATCAAAGCCCCTCCAAGGGCACTGCAAAATCAAATTACCAGAAGCGGTTATTACTTGAATAACTGGTATAAAAAACTGGATTGTTAGAAAAGTTTGAAGCAAAGGGTTTCGTAAACTTACAGTCCTGCATATATTATACATACTCCAGCAGTGAAAACATCTCCAGCTTTGGCTTCCTTCCTAATAATCAAGGTGCTCCCATACCAGCCTTGAAGAGCCCAGACAGCGAAAGTGACTCCAATGCTGCCCATGGCCATTCCTTTCAGCAATCCTTGCTTTATTCCCAGCTTCAGAGTGGGCTCTAATGCAATCTTATATTTCTTAATCATTTGATCTTCTGCAACATAGGAGTAGACTATCCTTATTGATGACACTGCTTGTTCTACGATTCCCCCAGCAATGGTGTAAGCGACTTGTATCTTCTCTCCGACTCCGGCTAAAAGTTTTCCGTATACAAATCCTGGGATAATCAATACAAAGAATGCAGGGATGGCAACTATAGCCAGTCTCCAACTGAGGTACAACGCAACCATTTGACCCGTGATGAACGTTGACATATTCATTATGAAATTCGCTATCTGCGATAATTTTTCATTTCCAAATCAAAGTTAGTAATCTTGAAAACTATTGGAAATCATGTAGAAGTAAAAAAATATCTTAGTACCACAGATGCATCATGTTAATGTGTGAAATCTGTAAACGTAAAGTGATTGAATCTGTATATGCATAAATCCTACTAAAAGACTATATTAGATGATTATATTTTTAAAAGTAATACACGGACCGTCTCTGTTAAAACAGACTGTATGGTTAATGTGTCAACAGAAATGCTGGATACGACTTGGGATGTCATGGATGCACCATAGTTCATATCAAAGAACCCAACATCTTGATGAAGCACAGCTCGTAGATATTTTCTGCGTAATCGAAATGTATGCCTCTCCGCAGTTCGTGCCCAACAAAATCCTTCTATTGAATACAATATCCAAAGATTAGAGATGGGGAGACACTAGTGATAGTGATATGTATTTTGGCCATTAAAATAGTAGAAGGGTTATGCATGCCAATAACTTTAAGGTTGGATTCACGATACTATCAAAATCTTATTTTTACGTGCAAAAAAAAAAAAACTTTTGTGATTTGATTTATAATAAAAAAAAAATCGAATAAACATTAACCACATATAATATTTCAGCAAAATATGATGAGATATATCTTATAATCATATTATAAATGGTAAGTAACATATAACTATGCTGTGAATAAATGAATATGATTGTATAGTACCCAGAAATGCGCCTGAACCCACGCCAAGTGCAACATAGAGTAAGGCAAGTGCGTACTGCAATATGAGCAAAACAATTTCAGTAACTGAGTTAAAATTCATCGTAAAAATCATTCAATATTTCTCAGCTTTGCCCTTTAGTCTTTTCTCATTCAAATTTCAACTACAACATTTGCATGTGTGCTTATATGTATTGGAGAAATAGCAAGTAAAAATTACTCTGACAAACCTTACTAATGTCTTGAGGGGTGAGAGAAGGGCCAGCATAGCCATTCATCAAGTGGCTGATACTTAACATGATTAACGCCATGGCTGATCCATCTGCAACTGATCCAATCGACCCAAGTACCATTAAAAACATATCCTTCCAGTCTGAGTCTTTCAAAACCATTCGTAATGAACCAGGTTGCGTTCTTCCTTCTTTTCCATCATCCTTTTGAACTTCTGAACTCGGCTCTCTCATCATTTAATGTTGCGATTCTAATTTCTTGTTTAATCGCAATATTTTATAAAATCCTTAATTTCTCTCTATACATAACACTTGAATCAAATTAATTTAATAATATTACTTTTATAGTAAATTAAGAAGCTTGGATACATAGGATGTCTATGACGAGAGTTGATCGTTCATCCTTGGTGTTACTTTCAATTAGTATATTTAAGAACGGCTAGTGCAACTTAATTAGAGTTATTTTGTAATCGCATGGATTATTACAGAAATTATCTTAACCTTGTTGACCTTTGAAAAAAATACAAACACTAGAATACTTAAATCTACACATCTTTGTGAGGAGGCTTCGAGAGCAACCTTTTCCTTTATCTATCAACTTAACTTTAATATACTAAAGTTATTTGCTTGCAATTGTTACCAAAGTTATTTAATATACTAGAGCTCATTGGTTCCCCAAAAGTTGATTGCTTGAAGGTTTTCCAATTTTGTATAACTACATGTCATTTCATGTGATACTCTTACTACATCACTTATATAATAAGATCATCCAATAAAATAGTTGTAATTATTGCCATATAAATAACCACCTACGGTCATGATTAATCAATAATTACTCTCTATGATTGGTGTTATGAAAAATAACTCTATATGTCATTTTGTTAGTGGATGGTCTCACCTATCAATTAGGTGATATGATAAGATTGTCCTATATAAGTTTTTCTCTTTAATTGTCAATAGAATTCTTCATAAAAGGTAAACTGTTGCAGTTCCTAATTGGATAAAATTAATCACTTAGCCTAGAACTACAAGTCATATCATATGTGACTAATTTTATTGCCTAAAACTCCTGCACACCCATAACTCCTTTACGTATATATAGGGATAAAACCAAAAAACAAAAAAACAAAACCGAAAATCCAAATCAAACGAAACCGAACGGAATAAGAATTTAACTGATTAGTTTGGGTAAAACTAAAATGAATTTATCATGATGTATACCCCAGCCAAACACGCTGATGCTGATAGACAACCAGAGTATAATATTGAGATTGTGTTGTTAGGTGCCAATCAGTTCATTTACATAGTGAGAAACGATGCCATGGCACTTCATTTTGTCTGCGTTAGTCGATGTATACAACACAGGAGATTATCTATATGGTTTTACTACAATAAGCTTCGGCCGTTGACTTATCAAGGCGGCTTTAAAAATGATGCACAACATCCAAATTCGTGAATTTGTCAAGAGTTATAGAAACCTAGTAGGAATATTTATTTGAGTACGTAGCATCTGTATTTTCAACATTATATTTCGGTGTTTAATTTAGCATATGCTATCTGACAATTTATTAATTCTCATTGGATTCTTTAGCCCAATCTATATTTTTACATATATATCTACAATTTATGCAACAAGATGTTGATATTATAAAGGATAATTCCACAAAAATAATAGATAAGGATCATGATTATATGAATACAAGACAATTTGTTTTATAGTGTTACTGGAATAATAAAAGACAAAGCGTATAATAGAGAATCTACACCGTAAAGTGAATGTTGACAAGTGTTAGAAAGACTCAAGTTAATGTGCCCGCAAAAGATCCCAAGCAAAAAGTGGTCGGCAAGGATTTGAGGCCAAGGTTTCCCATGGGACAGGCTTATCACCTTATTGTACTAATGTGATAAGACCATGTATTTGGATAACTAAATTAAAATCTTATTTTTTCAATCACAATTTTTTTTTTAACTTTATTTCTCTCTCATCCTACCCCAATTGCGGATCAATTTTTATTCTCAATCAGTTTCTGTTTGTCGTTCATTCGTCAATCTTCATTATTCTCTATCAATTCCCCAACTGTAGTCGTCAGCCTGTTTTATGTATTGAAGAAAAGAATAGATTTTACTTTGATGTTTATTTGTTGTTTAATGGCTAGAGAGTATACAATAACGACTTTTAGAGCCACCATAAACACAATAATTTCTTGCCAGTCTTAAAAAAATTTGTATTTTTTCTTAAATTAAATCACTAAAGACTGATATAATTTCATTCTTAAAGATCAAATGAAACCCACTTGCATTATATTAAGTAGATGGAATATAAATTTATCGGGGCTGAACGCTATACACCCACTCATAATTTGTCATAAAGACAATTTAGTAGGTTTGAAAATGAGAATTACCCACTTTCTAAATCTGTTAGTAAAATCCGTTTAAGTAAGGATAACATAGTAATTTTATATCCAATAATTTTAAATTAATCTATAAATCCCTAATTTTTTTATCCTATTTTTTTTATTTCATTTTTCTCTTCTCTTTCTTATCTTCTTCTTCATCTCTCCCTTCTCTTTCTTTCCTTTCTTCTCCGTCTTTTCCCTCCTCCCCTTCTCTTTTTTCCTTTTCTTCTCCTTGTTTTCCCAAATTCAGCCAGATTCGCCCGAAAAAATCACCTCCCATAAATATAAACACAATTGAAATTCAACCTCATCTTAACACCACATTCAAAATTCATTCTCCATCTCAACTTCATAACCAAATTCATCTTACATCTCAACTAAACAATCACGTAAGGAAAAATAAAAATAAAAATTCAAACCCATTGCTGAAACCTATGAAAAAGAAAAATGAGATTATTCTTGTCTCGGTCAGGACCTCCAACAGCTCCAAACTCGCCACCAGAACCACCAAATACAACTATCACCACCGCCACAAACCACCACAAATTTCAAACACTTCCAACCCAAACTGTAAAAAATTATAGAAATTTGAAAAAAAAATTAAAAGTTAAGAATCTGAAGAGGAAAATACAACCATCACCATCACCACGGCCACAAACCACCACAGATTTCAAACACTTCCAACCGAAACTGTAAAAAATTATAAAAATTTGAAAAAAAATTAAAAATTAAAAAACTGAAGAGGAAAAGACGGGTTCTTGCCTAGCGACCAAAGGGAAAAGAGGGAGAAGAAAAGGAAAAAAAGAGAAGGGGAGGAGGGAAAAGACAGAGAAGAAAAGGAAAAAATAGAAGGGGAGGAGGGAAAAGACGTAGAAGAAAGGAAAGAAAGAGAAGGGAAAAGAGGGAGAAGAAAAGGAAAAAAAGAGTAGAGGAAGAGGGAAAAGATGGAGAAAAAGAAAGAAAGCGAAGGGAGTGATGAAGAAAAAAGATAAGAGAGGGAAGAGAAAAATGAAATAGAAAAAATTAGGGATATATGGATTAATTTAAAATTAATAGATATAAAATTATTATATTATCCTTACTTAAACAGATTTTACTAGTAGATTTGGATAAAAAATAAATAATTCTCATTTTCAAATCTTTTGAATACAAAATTATCTTTATAACAAATTATAGGTGGGTGCATATCGTTTGGCCTTTTTGGGAAAGAAAAGAGAAGAAATCTGAATCGGTAAAGCAAAAGTCAAAATTTTAAAAATATTATTTGCCACCTAATAGCAAATGTAAATATATTATTGGATGGTCTTATCACATCGTAGTGA